GTGGAGAAGTAGAAGGATAGAGGATGAGGAGGGAAGGAGAAGAGGAATAGAAGGGAATGAGATTAGATGTAAAAGGATAGTAGAGGAGAAGTAAGGATTAGGAGGAGAGTGAAGATAATTATGAAAAAAGAGTAGAAGAATAGTAGGAAAGGAGAGGAGAATAATTTAAAGGAAAGGAGATGAGAAAATAAGAGTAGGGTGATTATGATGAAAGAAGTAAAGAAGTAGGAAAAAAGTCGAAGAGGAGTATAAGAAAGGATAGGAGGTGAAGAGGACTTTGAGGAAGGGGAGCGGAAGAAGTAGGAGGAATGGAGAGGAGAAGAGAGTGGAGGAAAATACGTGAGAAGAGAGCGGAATGAAAGGAGGGCAATAGGGTACTAGGATTGGAGGAGTAAGAAAATGAAAGAGGTGGAGTGGAAAAAGTAGAAGGATAGAAAAATTGTAAAGGAGAAGAGGAGTAGAGCGGAATGAGAGGAGATGTACTAGGATGGTGAAGGAGAAGGGAGATGTAATAGGTGAAAACGAGACTATGATTTAGGAAAGATCAGAGTGGGAAGAGCGAGAAGAGGGTAGGAGGAAAGGAGAGTAGGAGTAGGAGGTAACGAGAGGAGAATAAGTAGGAGGAGGAAAAAAGATAGAAAAGAAGAGAAATTAAAAAATTAAATTCCACTTAACCTATTCTTTAACCTGACAGCACAAGAAATCTTTTAAGCTTTCCCATGAACCGACTGCTTGCTGTTGTTTGTAGGGATTTGACTTGGCTATGGGGAGGAAAAATATGTAAGAGTAATGGATAGTAGAAGGGGAGAAGCTGGAAGTGAGAGATGGAAGAGGATAGGAGAGGAGAAGAAATGGAGTAGTGGGAAGAAAGGAAAGAAGAGCAGTAGGAGGAGATGAGAGATTGAAGAGGATAAGCAGGAGAATAACAGGGGTAATAGGAGTAAAGGAAAGAATAGCAGTAGGAGGAATGAGAGTAGGTTAAGAAAGAAGAGAACACTTCCTTTTGGTTTTCTTCTAGTAAATATATTCTATTTTATCTAGTGAACCCCTTTTAAAATATTGGTATTCTCTTTGCCATTCTCTCTCTAAGTATTTTTACTGTACAATTCTTGACATGCTTTCATCCAACAACAAAGATGATTTAGTGAGGAGTAGGTAGTGAGGATTATCAACTTGATTCACGTATCCCTACTTACAATCATTATCGAGCGCATTACATTTGGAGGAGAGGACTGTCTCCATATTCTCGAATTGCTTAAATTTGTGGAAAAAATGATCAATTGGTAAGAATATGGATGAATAAACTCTCAAATGATATATCTAACAATAAGCGATATCTGAGGGGCCTAATACCCCAATATTTATTTAGAAAATAGATGAAGAATATAATATTGATATTTGGTAATTAATTGTAATTAATTTAGTTTTGAATAAAATTTTGTATAGTTAAAAATACATACACCCACTGAAAACACATGCATACCTAAGATCTATTGTTTTAATAAAATTTAAAATTTGTATTTTCTTTTACCTAAATATGCACTTTTAACCCTGAAATTAACTACTTCAAACTTTACACTATGCATTTTGCAATTTCTTTTGCTTAATTATGCACTTTTCCTCCTAAAATCAACAACTTCTAAACGTTAATTATGCTAATCGTAATCTTAATTATTCACTTTTACCCCTAAAATCAACTACTTTTAAGCATTAAAATACAAAATGTTTTTATAAAAAATTTTATTCCAAACAAAACAATAAAAATTATATTTAAAAAATTTTCCTTGAATCAATTGTATACTGTAGTTTTGCCAAAGGTTCTGACATGTATATGGAGGGTGAAAAGAGGAGCAGGGGGTAGGAGGAAAGGAGAGAAGCAGGGGCGTAGGAGGAAAGGAGTGGATCAAATGAATATGAGGAAAGGAGAGGAGAAGAGTGGAATAAGAGTAGAAGGAAAGGAGAGGAGCAAAGGAGTAGGAGGAAAGGAGAGGGGAAGAAGTAGTAGAAGCAAAGGAGAGAAAGAGTAATAGTAGGAGTTAAGAAGAAAGAAGAGGAAAGGAGAGGAGTATAATGAAAGGAGAGAAGGAGTAGGAGTTAATGAGATAAGTAAACGGAATGGAGAGGAGGGGTATGAGGGAAAGAGAAGAGCAGGGAGTATGAGCAAAGGGAAAAAAGAACAGGAGAAGATGAGAGATAGTAGGAGGAAGGCAGAGGAGGAGTAGGAGGAGGATCAAAGGAGTGTAGTAGAGAGTGGAGTAAAGTGTAGAAGGAGCAGGAGAAAAGTGGTATTAAGTCGTAGCCAATTTCAAAAGATTTCTCGTCCTTTTGATTTTTAAAACTAATATTTCTCGTTGTCTGACCTATCGTCCTGAATATTGGCATCTTTCCACATTTTCTGACCAACGAGGGTGCCAAAATACATTCTTTTAGGTTAGGGTTAGGTTTTAGTTAGGCTATACTTTAGTTTTCTTTAGGGTTAGCCAAAAAATACCCTTTCCTTTTGGTTTACTCTCACTCATAGATATAATCTCTTTTTGTCAGACCACTCTCCCTAAATATTGCCTTTCTTTTTTCCATCTGCAGGTATGCCTTTTTGCATAGTCGCATAAGCTTAGTCTTTGACCAGCCACTCAAAAGAATTTGACCATAAAATATTGTCGTGGGGGCAAAAAAGATGTAAAAGAAGGGAAAAAAATTGTAGGGGTGTCATTGACCTTCAACTCTGTAGTAATATAAAATAAAATCAATTAGTAGTTACCACAAGTAGGAACTACAAAGGGAATTGTTCATTAGGCATTAATTGTTCAATAATCACCAACACCCATTATTTGGGCTTGACAGCCAAAGTCATTAATTATTTACTAATTTTGTTACGCTTAAACATAACACCGATTCATTGGTCAGATGAAATGGAAACCAATTAGTAGTGCTAAGTCGTCAATTAGTCATACTAATTAACATGGAAATTTGCCGAAAGCCCCTACACCATTACCTACGATTTTAGTGTAAAGGTCAAAGAATTTCAAGGAAAATCTTACAAAAACCTCTAAATTTTTAAAATATGGCGGCATCTTCAAAGAGGTTTTAAAACAAAAATTTGCATAAATTTAAAATATTCCAAAGAGAAAATAGAAAAAATTTAAAAAATTTTGAAATTTAATAAAAAATAAAGGATTAAGGTCAAATTTTAATTAGGTCAAGGTCAATTATATTTATGAAAAAGTATTAAAAACAAAGGCCAAATTTTGGGGGAGCAAAAAAAAAGAAATTGGGAACTGAAAATAGAGAATTTTAATATTTTTTAATAAATTATCGGGTATCAGTCTAATTAACAGCCCGAGTAATCACTAACAAATCATTATTAAGACATTATAATCGAACTGTATAGTAATCACTTGAGATATCAATCTGGGTAATCACTTTCATTATTGATATGAAGTGGATTACAAGGTTTAATCTAGTAATATACGAATTCTCGACATTGAAGATTTGTAAATTGCTCATCTCTACTAATTAATCACTCATTCATTTCGTTCTACATGATTACGTGTTATTGCCAGCCGCGACGTTAACCAGCTTATTACAAATTACCCACTCCCTCTTTTGGTTTCTCCTCTTTCTTTTTGGGTGTCCACTTCTCTTCCTTTTATCGGACCCCTCCTTCCCCACGACAGTGTCCACTCCCTTTGATCTTTACCGCTGCATTCCCTCTCCCTTTTGGTTTTTGTCGGACCCCTCCACCACTTGACGGGTAGTGGATTAGTAAAAAGCCACGACACCGACTGTGGGTTAACTACTTTTATTAACACTGATTTTTTGGAAAAACGTCCAAAAAAAAGTCTGAGATCAGAAATTTTTAAAGATATTTTGTAAATATTATTTAATATACATTACAACACTACTACAGAAATTTCAGAACAATCCGACATCGGGAAGGTAAGAAACTCAAAAAATTCAAAGGGGGTTATAATTTCTTAACACACTGTATAGTAAGGAATAAAGTTTTAACATTAATATGTATAATTATTATAATTTCTTTGAATAGTACCATTTAAAGTTTCAAGTACCTAAACCAGTAGGCCATATTGAACAAGGCAAATATAAGTGGAAATAATATCCCTGCAATATTTAAAATTTTCGAAAACTAAGCAAATTTATTAGCTAATAAGTTAGTCCCAATCAAAAAAATCCCCCATTATTTCTAAAATTTACTTGAGATATAATCAGCCCTTTTTGCTGGATCTACTTCTGCCTCTAACCTTCTAATTAACCTTCCAATTAAAGGAAGTCTTCGACCAAATATTAACAAACAACTTTGTTCCCTTTCATTTTGTCTTCTTTGTTGTGGAGGGGATGGGAGTGAAATTGATGTTTTATTTTCATTAAAATATTCTTTGTTATCATTATTTATTTTAGTTGAATTTCTTTGAATGCTTTCATCCGATGAAGATAATGTTTTTTGCTTTAAAATAGGTGGTGGAGGAGAATTAGGGATATCAGCTCTTCGAACCCAAACTTCTTCAATTTCATCATCCTTTAAATAAAATTTAAAAAAAAGTATTTAGAAAGAAGTGGTAAATATTAGGTTTTCGAGGCCCTGCACCGAACTTTGCTGATTCAAATATGTAGTCCGAATTTTCGGACAGAAAAAATTAAATAACCAACATATAAGTACTAGAGATTGGTCTGGATTCAGTCGGATTTTTCCTGGATCCAGATTCAGGATTTTTGAGAATACCGATCTCTAGTACATACTATATTTTAACCAAAAAGTTATAAATATTTTTTATTAATAATCCCAGTTATTGAAAGTATTTGCTTCCACAAAATTTAGATAGTTTACCATAAACTGTGTAGTCAATGGAGTATAATGTAAACTCGGCCTATGAGTTAATAAGTTTGGAGGCATTTCATATCCTGGACATATTGAAGGCCGTTGTGATTGAGGATTGAAAACTGAAAGTAAACGTCCTTCTCCTCTATATCTTGCCAATACTCTATTATTTCTTGTTCCTATTTTTAAATTATTTTTAAATTAAAATAATATTTAAATACTTTTATAAAACATTCTAGATGATATATAAGTAACACAGGCAAATTCTAATAATGCCGAAAAAATAAATGCTAGACAGGCTTGAAAAAAATATATGATTTAAATAAATTAATAGATAGTAGTCGAATCTCGATAACACCTCTCCCCGTTAGCACCTCCCTCTCCTTCTAATACGTCTATAAAACTCGGCCCTGATAGTGACTCGTCGAGACTCGACTTTGTTACAATTTCCTTACCACCACACCAAATATCAATTGCTTTACTGTAACTAACAGGTGGAAGTTTAGCTAAGAATATTTATTTTAAATTAAAATTTATGAATGATATTTTATTTAAATTATTTCTATCTACCATTTATTCCTGACGTTTGAGTAGTCATTGTTAATCTTAAAGAAAGATATTAGGAAGGGTAGGAATTTGAAAAATTATATGTAATTAAAATATAAAAACTAACAAAGTAGTAACACCCAGAGTAACCCTTGCAGGAACAGCTGTACGATCCAACCAAAATGATACCCAAGAAACAATAACCAGCATAGATGATGGAATATATAATTGTAATAAATAATAACTAAATTGCCTTCTTAATTCCAAAACTGTCCGTAAACATCTTTCAAAAACAAAAAAGGATATTTTAAAAAATAATTTATTTAAATACGAGTAAGTCCCAGTATTTGTTTTGGATGTACAATATCCAGTAGAAACATTAGTTAATTGAAAACTAGGTAAAGAGGATTCTAGACCCTGTTTTAATTGAACAGGTTGAACTTCCTTCCAACGATATTCTAGAAATTAAAAATAATCTGAGTACTTAATTCTAATATATACCAATATCAGTATCTGTATAAGCATATGATGCCATATCAATTAAACAAGTTTGGACATCCATTGGATAATACTTTTTAAAAAAATGTTTATTTTTATTTTAAATTTAATATTTTCGTTTGTAAGAGTAAACACACTAAAAATGTGTTTAATCCCCCCCCCCCCCCCTATGGATTTCGTGGATCTATATCTCGGTCCACAGGCATCTACGAAAAAATATAGTAACGTTCGACTCAGCTCGTCGAGATGAATCAAATGGTATGGGTTCTTTCTTCGGTATACTAAACTATATCCATATTTTCTTTACAAGAATGTTAAAATTCTCAAATTAGTTTTTAGAGAAAATATAAAGAAAAAAACCCTCTAACTTGCTCTAAATTATTATCAGGCTCAATAATAAAAAAAACTTGCTTAAAAATAAATTTATTAATTACTTGAAGAAACATTGGACAAGAAAGAACAAGTGAAATCCTCACACTATACAAAATTCTACCGTCCTAAATATTTTTTAAAAATAAATTTAAATTTAATTTTAAAAAATAATTTACTTTATGTATTCTAATAAGTACATTAGGTTTGTCAATTTCGTGTTTTCTTGCTTGCTTTTCATTCTAAAAAAATTAGTTTTATAAAAAATATTAAACTATTTATTGTATCTTTAATAGTGATTGGACTGGGAATGTTATACGAGAATCAGATAGATAGTATATCTTGGAAAATATCGAACAGATTTTTGTTTTTAAGATCTTGTCTTAGTTAAATTTTTTATTTTAAATTATTTTTTAAATAATTATTTTTTGAAAATATGTCGACCACCCTTTTAACAAAAAAACTCTAACCCTCCTTAAATTATTTAAAAAGAAAATTACTTGAAAAAAAGTATCAGGCATCCAAATTTGTTGTCCCGCAGTTAAAATAATGTGATCGGGTTTTTGATCATTGGGTAATCCATATGCCAATCTTCCATCTACCCATTCCTCTCTAAATGTTAATTGTGTACTATATTCCATATTTACATCATCTATTTTTGATATACTACGTATTAACATGTTTATATTTACAACGACTGGGCCGTGATCGCCTTTAAGAAAATTTGAAAATAATTAATCTATAATAAATTTTAATTTTGGTTAATTTTTTTATTAACAAAGAAGGTTGGGGAAAGATCCGTCCAGCCTAGTCGATAAAACAAAATTGAACAGCTAAAGAATAAATGATTCGAACAGCTTTCAGGCCTAAGCCTATCTTGTATATTTTATCTTATTTTTAGTGAGGAATTCTGCTGATTTATTAAAATTAATATTTAAAAATTAATGAAAATTATTGAATTTTAAATTAAAAACCATCTAAGGAAAGATTTGTTCCTGGTGGACGAACACGCCAGTCATAGCCCCGATTGAGCAATTGTGAGAGAATTTCAGTATCAGAACTTGGACTACTCCTAAAAAATAAATTTTTTTATTAATTTTTAAAAATAAATATTCAAATAAAGTTCCAAATTTTTTGTTAATTCGTAAAGATTAACTCAAAAAATATTTACCTTGAATTTACCATTTTAATATTAATTATTAAAATAAATAAAATAAAAATATTTTTAATATTATAGAATCCATTATTTGAGAAATTGATGAAAAATAATGAGAAAAATGATGAAATTAATAATTTAAATTTTTGTACAGAAAATAATAAATAAATTTTAATTTGTTTAGAAAACATTCAAAAAATAAAGAATATTTTCTTAAATTAATTTTTAATTAAAAATAAGAAGAAAAATACATATTTAGATAATTAACTCTCACTCATTATAGAAGAGACTGTCCATTTCCTCTTAACTAGGGTTGTCGGTTCTGGACTGAACCGATGAACCGAGGATTTTTCGGTTCGGTTATCAGTTCGGTTTCGGATATCCGAAGATTTCCAGGAACCGAGAACCCTACAATCAACACCTCTTTAGTTTTATTATTTATTTAAAAATAATTATTTTTAATAAAAATAATACGTAAAACTTGAAGAAAAAATACAAATAATAATTGTAGCCTTTAAAGTTATTTTAAATAAATAGATTTTTAATTGAAAACATGCAATTAGCAGCTTTCTAAATATGTAAAAAGGTATTATTTCTGCTTTTTTCCTTGGGGAAATTTTTTGTTTTATTTTTTGAAATGATTATCTGCAAAATTTGTAATAATATTTAAATTTTATTTTAATTTTTAGAAAATTTTTCGACAAAAATTAATTTATAGAAAAAAGTCTCTATTTTTAATTTTAGTTAATTGTAAAAGAACAAAAATTATTTTAAGAATTTTTGAAAATGTGTAAAAAATATGTTTTTCAAACGAGTTGAGAAATTTTGGTTTCATTTCTAGTATGTATAATATATGTATATTGTGATAAAGCAGATTTACGGTATGTCGGAAAAAGTTTTAAAGTTTTTAATATTTTTAAATTTAAAAAAAAGTCCAAAATCTAACAAAAAATGAATTTAGAAAAAATTAAAAAAAATTGACCAAAGGCTAAATATAATTACTAAAAATAAAAAAAAGGATTAGTAAATAATTTCTATTTTTATTATTTATTGTGTCATAAACAAAGTTTTTTTCTGTAAAAAAACTAAATAAATAAATGTATTTTAATCCTTAGAATATTCTGTCAAACACATGTTCCCCTAAAAAGAATTTTACGAACATTTAAAATCCCAAAAATGTTGCCGATGTGAGAGAAAGAAAAAAGGGAAAGAATAAAAAATAAAAAAAATCAGAGAAAAACCATCTGGTACTGCTAAATAGTTTTTAAGTTAATTTTTATAAAAATTAATTTTTAATTAAAATATTACAATTCAATAATTAATTAAGTTGCTAAAAATATAAAAAATTGGTATTTGAATTAATAAATATGTCTAAAAATAAAATAGTTTTAAAGAGAAGTTTTATGAAAATTCAAATATTAAATATAAATTTATTTAAATTTAAAATTAAATATTAATTAATTTTTAAACAAAATTATAAAAATTTAATGAAATACTGAATTAGTATTTATGTAAAACTAGGGTAGCACCCCGTCCCCCGATGAATTTTTAGGCTTTACCCCGATCCGAACCCCGAAGGCTTTACCCCGGTAAAACACGAAACCCGGCACTCCCACCCTCGAAGGCACGAAGTTATTGTTATTTAAAAGGTTTGTTATTTAAATATAATTTATTTTTGGCCAAAAATTAATGAGTAAAACACCTTATTGTTTAAAATTATAGTTAAATAATTTTTTATTATTATTTTCTAATGGTTGTTTTCATATATTTTTTGTCATTTATTAAATGTACTTTAAAGAAAACATTTCTTGGCCACCAAATCTGGCAAAATCCCACACGCAAATATTACCAAAAAAAAGTAATTTTCATTAAATAAAAATAAAAAAGTAGAAAGAGTGGATATAAAAAATAATAGAAAAATATTTTTAAATAATTAAAAAGAAAATAATATTAAACAAGAATCGGGGTAACCTCTTAATTAAATAGAAGAGGTGTGCCGAAACAAAATTTAAAAATTATTACACTTCAAATTCTATTCAGAATTAGGGTTGTAATCAAGGTGTCCCCTTTCCAAATCACCAAAAAGGGGCATGGCACCTCAAAAAAGGGGCAAAAAAGTGGCCAGGTACAAAAAGGGGCGAGAAGGCCAAAATAGGGAATAAATGTCCATAAAAAAGGTAAAAGAGACACCTTAATTCTGTAATAGAGTAAATGTCGGGTACGGGGTTCTCAATTTGTTACGAGAAGAAAAGAAAATTTAATCTGGATATTTTTTAAAAATGCTCGGTTATTTCGAAATTGCTAATCTATTTTTAGCGTTCTACCAGATCTATATTTCTTAAAAATTGTCTAAATATTATCATTAAAATTTTGTTAAAAAATAAATAGGGGAATATTCGGAATGGATATTCTTTTTATTTGCCAAATAAAATTTTTTTCTATTAAATGAAGAGTATTTTTAGCTTAATTAGCCAAATTTATATTTTTTTATTTTAATGCATTAATAAAAAATAAGAAATTTTTTTGTAAAAAATATTTAAAATTAAAATTTTAAGGAAAAATAAATGAAAACCAAAAAATAAAAGGCTAATTATAGGAATTGATGAATTTTGAATTTATTAAATAATTTTTGAAAAATAAAAATAACTATAAAATATTAATTAAAAATTAGAATAATGTAAAGCAAATAGCTATTTAATTTCTTGGGCTATGTAGTAGGCGGTGTGGTGTAATGGTTAACAGTCTAACAGAACAGTCCGGTCTACTGAAGCTGGTTCGCTCCTAGCCGCCGAATAACCTTTTGCACTAGCTAAGTGAGAAAAATAGCTACTTAAGCCCAGCTGCTTTACTATAATAAAAATTTCTTTTAATAAATTGAACAAGATTTCTTACAGACTTATAGAGGAGATATGTAGGTAATTATTAAAAAATAATTTAAAAAATATTTCTTTTTAAATTTTATTTTACAAATAATTGGAAGGTTCAAAAAAAATTTTTTTATTAAATAAAAAATAAAAAAAAATAATAAAAAAGCCAACAATAATTAATTAATACTTGAAGAGGAAAAATAAAATGAAAGCAAAAAAGAATCTGTGCGCGACGGATAAGGCAAAAGGAAATGAAACGGAAAAAAGACAAAAAAAATAAATTTTATTTTTTAAAATAAAATTAAAAAATATTTTATTTTTGTAAAATTATTTTAAAAATAAAAATTAAATAAAAAATATTATTAATAGAAAAATAAAAATATTTTTTTCCTTCCAAAAATTTATCAGTTGTATAAATAAATATACTAAAAATCCAAAAAAATTATTTTTTATTTCTTTTTCCTTAAAAATATTATTTTCATATTATTTAGAGAAAAAAGTGCTTTTAAAAAATAAGAAGAAAAAAAGGTGTGCGTGCAATTTTCCCATATTTAAAATTTAATTTAAATAAATAACTAAAAAAATAATTTTTAAACTAAAAAGGAACATTTTAAAAGTTAAAAAAATAGGTAATTTTTTAAACAAAAAAAGATTAGTAAATATTTAAAAAATATAAGAAGTTTAAAGTTAAAAATAAAAATAATTAGCAAACAAAATTTTTAAAATAAGAGAGTTTTTAGTTTTGTTTTGAAGTGGTTTATAGGCATCAAAAGAGTTTTTTAAGCGGTTAATTAACAAAAACAAACAAATGAATTTAGGTATATTTTTGATTTTAAGTAAATAATTTTACTTAAAATTTAAAATATTTAAGAGTTAAAATAATGAAATAATTTTATTTGAATTATGTAAATTGTTTAATTAGAATTATAGTGTTGACAGTAGTTATTGCTAGTCGCCTTCGCTCACCCCGTACAGATGCTCTACGGACTGAGCTACCGGGATGCTGCTTTCACCGTCTCTTTTATTAGAACTTAAACCCTCGCCTAGTGAGCGTTTTAAATGCTAGCCAGCTGGATCTTTGTCTTCCTTACTATATAATTAATCGAGTAATTCAAATATTTTTTGATTAAGAAAATATGAGAACATATAAAATAATTAAAAGTATTTCTTTTGATTGTCTATTCAATTTATTTATTAATTAAATAATTAATTAATTTAAAATTTTATAAAATATTATTTTTTACCTTTCATTTTCCTTTTTATCATCAAAAAATTTCAAAACTTCTTCTTTCGTCGTTGATTCAATAATTCCTTCTGCCGCTAACCAATTATTATTTAAATATTTACTAGTAATTGTTGTTGTAGCCTTAATTTCTTTAAAATTATTTTCTTCTTCTTTTTCGTCCAAATCCTCCAAATAATATTCAATTTCTTCATATATAGGCTCTTCATCTTCATTATTATCAATAAAATCTTTATCTTCCTCCAATTGTTTATTTCTTTTTTTATTTTCACTAAATATAGCTAAACGGGGAGGTTGAACAAATAATTCATTATTATTGTTGTGTTGACGAATTTTATGTAATAATTTATTTGGAGATGGAATTGGTGTTGTATTATTTATTAAAATATTTTTTGTAACACTCATTGATTGACTTAAATTTATAGTATATAGAAAATACCTAAGAATCTGAATTTTGGAAGCCCCCATTTTCCTTTTTTCCTAATCTGATCGGATATAACTTTTTTATCCTTAATCCAATCCTGAAGCTTATATCATTCGAAAGCTCTCGATGAGCGCTATCTTTTTACTGGATGGATAAGTTTGCCCATAAAAAGTTACATGACATTAAGTGTGAAAACAAAACGATTTCTTGCACTTTTAAGTCGTAACTATTTTACGAGTGATCAGACTTAATCCATCCGGTTGGAAAAAATAGCGCTTATCAAGAGCTTTCGAATGATATAAGCATCACTCGGATTGGATTAAGGATAGAAAATTTATATCCGATCAAATTAGGAAAAAAGGAAAAATGGGGGGGGGGGATAGTAGACAAGTACAGATTCTTTTATCAAAATATTCATGGGAAGGGGAAGTAGGGGGGGGGGGAGGGGGAAGGGAGACAAATTAAATTTAAAATAAAAATATTTTATCTAAAGAAAAACAAACCAATAATTTGCAAGAAAGACTTGATTAAATATTATAAAAAATAAAAATAAATTAAATCCTCCCTTCAAAATTAAATAAATAAAAGAAATAATTAAAGCAAATAATTTAGTAATTAAATAAATAAATGTTGAAATTAAATTTAAAAGAAAAAATAAAATATTTAATTTTTTAGAAGAAAAATTAATTTTTTTATAAAGGCAATTTTGTGTTGTTTTATTTAAATCAACAAATAATTCTTTAAAATTTTCTTTTATTTGAAAAATAGCGGATATTTTATTATTAAATGTTGTTAAAGACTCTCGACAATTGACAAAAATTATTTGAAGATGTTTTGTCGATAAAGAAAAATTTAAAAAAGAATAAAAGGAATTGTTGTTGTTTAGGGGGCAATTTAACAATACTTTTTTGTTAATTTTATTTTTGTTTTTGTTGTTGCTCTTCATTTATTTATTGACGTCAATTGTTGTACATATTAGGAAACAAATAATGTTTTTATAACTTAAAAAAATTATTCTTCAAAGCAAAGTAAATACCTATATCGGTACCTATAATAAATATAAATACTTATAATAAAACCTATATCGGAACTGAGATTTTATCAAGGGTTTGGCTTATAAAAATTGGTTGAGATCGAATTGGAGAGAAGGATTAACAAATTACAGTGGATATTTACAAAATTAAGGTATAAAATACACATTTTCAAAATAGTGAGACGAGAATAACGAGAAATAGTACGGGACCACTTTGAAGGAAATCAACGCATACCACGGTCCCTTAATCACAAAACTTTCGTATTATTACTTTTAAGGACAAAAATTAAATATATCTATAATAAAACTATGAAAGGTTTCCTAAATAAAATTAAAATATAACTTTATTAATTTCAAAAAAGACTAAATGCTTGTCATTTCCATACTATAAAGTTGTATATTTTTTCAGCATTTTATAAATAGAAAAATTTGTGTCTGTTAAATATCTCTTTTTCATTATTTATTAAATGACCAATTTGTGGAAATACTTTAATAAATTTAGAGTAAATGTGTTAATTTGCCTCAAATTTCTGACATTACTAATATGTGTATTGGCAAATGTTTTTCCCCTATTTATATTAATTTAAAAAAATAGCACAACTAAATCCACAGACTTTCGAAAATTTAAAATATAATTTCTAAAGTACCTAAAAATATCTAGAATATTTTTGTTTAATTTTATGTCCAATTTTATGTTCCTAGAATACTCTTAAATAATTAAAGTTAAACTAAAAAGACTGAAAATGCGCTTTTAAAATTAAAAAAATTTTATCCTTCAAAATAAAATTTTATTTCCAAATCCCAAATAATTTTTAATAAAAATAAAAGTAATACTCATTTAAAAAAACAGAAGCAAATCGATAGAAAAAAAACTTAGGAAAAACATACGAACACACAAAAAATTGAATTTTCTTGTAGAAATTCCAAATAATTCTCCAAAAAATTTATTTTGATTGATACATACGACTAAAATTTAAAATTGTTAATTTACAAAAAAATTTGTTCAAACGGCAAAAAAATAATTACTCACACGAATGGGATATAATTATAGTATTGAGGAGTAGATATCGGCCTGGGTCTGTACCAAAAACGGATTTTTCCTGTACCCAGAGCCCGGCATTTTTAGACCTTCCTGGGTTTTCCCGGGCCTGGGTTCTTCATGGACTACAGGCCCAGGATCCTAAACAGGTCAATAAATGAAACCCAAAGCCCAGGAACAGGTCTAAACTTTTCAAATATACAAAAAACCCAAACCGAAAATCCTAAATTTTAAAGAGTGCCCAGTCTAATAAAATAAAAGATTTTTAAATAACCAACCTTATTTCTCCAACATTTAAGAAGACAAATGACGAATACTACGCCGATGCGTTGGCTTATCTTCTTTTTCAAGTTTAGTGTTTTTCTTAGCAAATTTAGCCTTTTTCCCTTTCTTGTTTCCAATATTTTTCGATTTCTCTTTATCCTTCTTATCATCTTCATTATTTCCCCCTTTCATCTCAACATCTTCATTTGGAGGACTTTTGACTGGTTCGACTTGCAATTCAAAACTATCAAGTTCTTGAAAACTCTTCTCCAAAGTATTTATCTCTGCCTAAATAAATTTAAATAAATATTTAAAATATTAAAAAAGAGAAGGCAAAACAGATACATAAAAGTAAAGTTCGAAGGCATTACAAGTGTTTAAAATTTCTAAAAAAAATTCTTACAATTAGAGGGAAGAGATCTTTAAAATCGTGTCAGGCTAACTCGCGGATCAAACAAATCATGGAACGACAAGTCACGGAATTACCAGATCACGAAAACCAACTCTCGTGATGACCAAAACACGGAATAATTTAAAAATCATAATTTTTTGAAACTCTGAATATGTATTTTTAAAAAATAAGACTTTTTTAACCAACTAGAAAAAGTTAAAAGACAAAATTAAAATAACTATGAAAAATTCTGATTTCTAAAAATATTCTGATTTTTAAAATATTCCGTGTTTTGGTCGTTCCGTGAGATGATCGTTCCTTGATTTGGTAATTCCTTGATTTGTCGTTCCGCGACCTGTCTGTTCCGTGAGTTGGAATTCCTCGAGTTCCTTGGAATTCCTCACCCCTTTAAAATAATAAAATTAAATACCAAACATTCCTCACTCAGCTTTTCATCAGCTTTTGCTTCCAATTGCATACTATAACGCTTAACAATTTCATCAACATTTTTCTGAGGATTGCGCAAATTAGTCGGCATCGTCAGACGTCGAGGTTTCATTCGTTTTTTAAGTTTAGGAGTTGAATAAATACGAATCAAAGGCTCTTTAGAATTATTTTTAGATGTTGAAGGCATTTTTAACTAAAAAACTAATAAAATTAGAAAAGACCTTAACTAAAAAGCTTAGAAAATCAATAAAAAGCAGCAAAAAAATCAATTAACGACAGTGACGAATTTAAAGTTAATTTGCCCGCCATTAAAAACAGAACGCCAAATAATGACAATTAATTATTTCAAAATTTTTCTGAGTCTAAATTTTAATTTTTAAGATTTTGTTTTAATTTTTTGAGGAATTTTTTAATTTTTAGCTATCAAAAAATCATGAGAAAATTGCATATTGAAATCAGATTGGAAAATTCAACGTCAAAAAATGAGGAAAACGACGAAAATTTAATTAATAAAATTAAGCAAATTATGCCTCAATTTATTTTTAATCCTCATACATTTTTGCCAAGTGATGAACAAAACAATAAAATTGGAAGAAATATTTTACGGATTTTCATTGAATGTTTAGATAAATCGAGAGGAACTGTAAGTGATTTTTGGCAATTCTGGTGAATAGGGGGTTTTCTCGAAAAAATCATTTTTTTACCCTAAAATGTCCTTTTTTTTATTTTTAAAATTTTTTTCGAAGAAACCCCTATTCTACGGGATTGCCTTATTTTTACTATTAAATAATTTTTAAAGTTTTTATTTTTTTTCTGGCTATTTATCTGAGTTTTAACAAATTTAGTTCGTATATTTCTTTAACAATAAGCTAGTCCCGTGTAGTATTTAGCCCCCTGGTTCTCATGGGCATCACTTTTCGGTTTGGTTAAGAAAAACATTTTAAAATTGGCTCTTGTTACGTCCAAATTCCGTTTTAGTTTATCTATTAAAGCCATCTTTAATATTTTCATATCAATAGCTTGACCATTTAGGTTTTGAACCATATAAAATGTTTTTTAACATTTCATTAATTTTTAAGAGAATTGATCTCACCACTGAACGCCTAGATGCTGCCAATTATTATTTTTATACTGCAAACAATTATGGTGAAATGGCGGAAGAAGTTGCTGAAAAGGAAAACAATGAGGGAGATAGCCAAGTTGGCACATTTCAATGGGAACTGCCAACAATTGAATTTGAAGGATTTTGGGAAAATTTAATTTATGAAATTGAGGATTGTCCAAAATCGAAGGTTTTTTACAAAATAAAAAATACTAAAAATTAACTTTTAGCTGACAAACTTTATTTCTACTTCTTTGAAGTTTGCTCGTTTTGGCGTCGATCCAAAAATTCTATCAAGAAATCATTTGATACTTTTGAATGGTATTTTAATTTTAATTAGCTTTTTGACTTATCCCTTTATTTTAACTATTTTCTGACATGTCATAAAATTTTTTAAAATTTTATGACATTTTAGATAATGGTAAACCGGACAGCCCACTTTATTTCTACCCAATTTTCCCTTATATTTTTCTAAAATTTTCAGACTTTTTCCTTTCTAATTTTTGCCTACAATCAAACAAAAAGGATTATTGCCATTTTGCATAAATTTAGGGGAAAAATTGGATAGGGGGAAAGGGTGTCTGTCCGGTTCAATATTATACTTACAAGGAGAGTTCGCGAGGTTGCCTTTTAACTAGAATTTCAACTTTCATTCTTAAATTAAAAAAATATTTTTTATATTTTATGTCCTCCTGGTACCGGCAAAACAACTCTATGTAAAGCGGTCGCTCAAAGAATGGCACTACAAACACATCGAATTTTTAATCAAACACTTTTTGTTGAAGTTAACAGTCACAGTCTTTTCTCAAAATGGTTTAGCGAAGTAAAAAAATTTTTTAATTTTAAAATTAAAATTTAATTTTCAGAGTGGAAAACTTATCCAAAAATTATTTTCCAAAATTGAAGAATTGGCAGAAAGAACTGATCGTTTAATTTTTGTTTTGATTGATGAGGTTTTTTTAGAAAATATTTAAAAAAATTTTTATTAATTATTTAAAAAGGTTGAAAGTCTAACAATTGGACGGGAGACAGTTTTTTCGGGAAATGATCCGACAGATTCAATTAGAGCAGTTAATGCAATGCTTACACAACTGGATAGATTAAAACGGTAATATAAAAATTATTTTTAATAAAAAGATTTGGCGATTTCTTATAATTGTTAATTAATTTTTAACTTCCCAAATACTAATTTTTTAAATTAACTGATTATTAAAAGAATTAGTTAAACTCCTTTTCTGAGAGTTTACTGGTCCCTTGAAAAAAGGCGGAGAAAATTCGAGTATGAGATTAGAGTTTGTTCATTTTGAACCCGGATCCAAATTCGACAGGGTCAAAACTGGGGTCGAAATTAAAATTTTGTGGCTAATCTGACGCGCCTCTTCAAGCGGATGTGACATTCATCTCACAATCAGTACACTCGATTACCTACTGGCAAACCTCAAAAATATTTAAAAACTTTTTCCTCATTTTTCTGGGAACCAGTAAACTCGACCTTTACCCCTTTCGATTTTTTAACCACAACAATAAAGAAAGAAAATAACTTTCTAAAATTATTTAATTCTACAATCTATTTTTAAACAGTTTTTCAAATGTTTTTATTCTTTGTACTTCAAATATTGAAAGGGCATTGGATGCTGCTTTTGTTGACAGAATTGGATTATCTTTATATTTTAAAAGCCCTACTTTGGAAGTAATTAATTCAATTTTAACAAATTGTATTGATGAGATGAAAAGAGTTAAAGGACTTTTTGCTAATGATGCTGGTCAGCCTGATTGGTGGACAGAAAATTTAGAAAATGAAATATTTAAAAATATTTCAAGGTTTTTATTTTTTAAATATTTTTATGATTTCTAATTGGAAATTTTTTTTGGAGTTTAAATTTGAATACCTAACATAACTGGACATAACTTTCTCCGAATCTAGTTTGTCAGAATTATGAGTAATTTTAAAGAATTTTTACTAGAAAAGATCCGCTAAAATTTCCCAATACTTTTCAAGGGTATAGTCAGTGGGGGCTTCTGGGGCTGTAGCCCCCCCCCCCTTGAAATGGGGAAGAGGGAAAAAACACCGAAAGTTTGGTGCACTTATTCTTCTATAAATTTATAAAAAAAATTTTCTAAATAAACAATTTGACTTTTCCAGTAATTGTCAAAAAGCAAAATTAAGTGGAAGGGCTCTTCGAAAATTGCCAACAATTGCTTATTCAATAGCTGCCCAAAATTTAGATGAAAATGATTATGGAAGTGGAGGATCGTCAAATATTACATTTCCAGAATTTATTTATTGTCTTTATATAGAATCTGAAAGATTAATAAATAAGGAAATTGAGGAGGAAGATAAAAATTGTAAAGAAGAAAATAAAACTTGGTCATTCAATTTTGATAAATTACGAGATTGTTTAACACAACAAAATGGTTTTTAATTATTTGTTTTTTAACTTTTTTTAAATTTTTTCAAAAATAAACGTTTAATTTATTTTGAAAAATTATCAAAAGTGAACACCTTCTTGATCGGAACATTCAATTTTAATAAAACCTCAAATTAGGAATTTAGGAATAATTTTTTGTTAATAATTCTTGAACTAAAAAGTGTTATAGGTACATAAACAAAGAAATTAACTGAAAGTTTTATCTTACTAGTACCAAAATCCTTTTTTAAAATAAGTGATTATAAAAATATATGTGAGTAAAATGAAAAAATAAGGGATTATCTAAACTTTAAGATTTTCTTTTTTAAATTAAAAAAAAATTTATCTCGTTTACTATGATTTATGTTTTAAAATTGTTACGTTTTTCTTTGTTTTTATCTACATACTTTAAAATATTTACATAAAGAATTAATGGAAGTCCTTATTTCAAAGTCAGAAGCCAATTAAAAATTAAATTTTACAAATTTAATACGTGTGATTAATTACAGTAATTTGTAAAAAGAATTAAAAAATGATTAAAAACTAGGATTTAAAATAACAAAAGAATCCCTAAAATATTTTTTTTCGAAAAGGATTCTGATTAAAAAATATTTTTGTTGTCAAAAGTTTAAAAGTTTTTGGTTTGGCGTATATAAAATTGTTTTGTTTCATTATTTTCATTTAAATTCTTTACTCCAAATCACCTTCTATCTGAATGAAATGAAAGTTTTTATATTTTTTCTCCTTTGTTTTCCAAAGAAAAGTTTTGAACAAAACTTGACACAATTATTAACTACAACATTTAATTCAAATATAACGACAACAAAAACAACACTAAAAACAACAACACCTTCACAAACAACAACAAAAACTTTTCCTTTTTCTACTTCCAACCAAGCAATACCTTTGCAACTTAAAGTTGGTTTGTTAGCGGCAAATGGAAGTTTATATCGTTCCCTTTATGGTTTTGGACAAAGCACACCAGCAATTAGTATAGCTTTACAAAGGGCTAGGGATGAACATTTAATTGATAATGTTAATTTTACGTATGTAAATTTTAAAGATTAAATCTGGTTATCCGCCAGCATTTTTTCCTGTTCGGATCCAATTTTTTGAATACATAAACCAAAAATCGAATGTCATGTATTTATGTATGTCCCCGAAATAAAAACGCAAAAAACAATGATGTTCTCGCAAAAACACTGTATCACTGGGAGAATTATGTATGTAGCAGAATTTTTGTTTAGTCGAAAAGCAGGGAAATTTTTTTGACGGGATTTGTATGAAAAATATGAAAATCTTTTTCGCAAATTTTTGTTATGTGCCGACCACTTAAACTCTTTTTGGGAGGAGAAAAGAATATAAAAAATATGTAGAATTCGGGCGGATAACCAGATAATACTTTTAGTTTTACATGGAAAATATGTGATTGTGATCAAGTTTTAACTGCTGGATATGTTAATGAATTAATTTTAAATACAAGTGTTGATGTTATTATTGGACCACCATGTGTTACTTGTAAATATTTTTAAAAATTAAATATTTATTTCCTTACTCCTCGTATTTTCTAATCAAAAACTTAGATCCTTTATTTATAGTTAAGGATTAATTTAGAAATTTTTTAACACGCAAAATTTAGTATTGTTTAATCCTGGTAGTTTGTTTTTGTCTCATAATTTTGTTTTAGTCTTATAATATCTTATAATTTAACTCATAACTTTCTCATAACCCTCTAGTCTTCTCAAATTAATTTAATAATTTTTATATAAATTGTTTTTTAATTATTCTAAAGCTGCAATTGTTGCTGGCTATGCTCCCGCATTTTACAATATTCCAATATATCTTTGGGGTGCAACAATGGCTTCATCATTAAATGATCAAACAGTATATCCAACATTAGTTAATATAAATTCAAATACAAAAATGTATATTTTAATGAAAAATTATTAAAATAAAAAAATAAATTTTAAAGGCTTTCATTAGCTATACAAGCTGTTTTAACACAATTTAATTGGTTTGAAGTATCTTTAATTTATGTTCCGGATAATGTTAGAAAGTATCTAAATTAAAAATATTTTCTCTGAATAAATTAATTTTTAGAATGGGTCTTTTCTTTCCTCAAGATTTTGAAACAGTTATAAGTAATAATTCGAATTTTACAATTGTTTACAGACAACAAATGGATTCAACATCTAAATCAATGAAAGATACACTTTTACAATTGCAGAATCGATCAAGAAGTTGGAATTAAACTTGAAAATATTTAAATAATAAATTAATTATTGTGGGATCGAAATGATTTCGAATGAAATTCGAAATGAGTAAATATATTTTATTCCATGTTTTTCGGAAAGGTTAAAAATCGCTATTTGCCTTCAAAATACGGCAGAAAGCGGAAATTTAGGGGTGTTCATATAATTATGTGGCGGAGTGTACAAAGATAACAAAATTAAAATAAAATTTGATACTAAAATTAAATTTCAAAATATTTTAAAGTTGTTGTGGCTGCCTTTGATACATTACAAGATAGGAGAACATTTTTGTTAGCATTATATGACCTTGGAATTGCTAAAAGCAATGAATATGTTTTTATTATTGGACAATTAAGGAATTTAGGAATGTTACAAAGAGGTAAATAAAAATTAAATTTAAAATACATTAAATTAAAGTATCTACTGGAGTAAATTCAACACAATATACAAATTTTTGGAGGGATATTAATAATCAAAGTGATGGGCGTGATAATGATGCGTTAATGGCTAGTAGAAGAGTAATAATTGTATGTGTTTTGTTAGAATGGATGTTTAAATTTTTTAATTGAGAATTCTTTAGAGTTTTAAATAAAAATAAAGACAAAACCAGGCTTGGTAATGGATACGGATATGGATACAGATAAGTTCAAAATGCCTGCGGATATACCAAAATCCATGTCCATTACCAAGTCTGGACAAAACTAATATATATTTTTTTGTCTGAATAAGAGTTATAATTAAATATTTAAATTAAACACAGGTTGACTTAGAAGACCAATCTAATGATCAAATAAATGCATTTATGCAAAAAGTATCATCAATGTTTGGAGCACCTCCATTTAACTGTAAAGATGAATGTATGGGTGCAATTAATGAAAGAATAGTTAAAATATTTAAACTTTAAAAATTATTAAAAAAATAAATTTAGCCATGTTCATATGCTATAAGTTTACACGATGCTACTTATGCTTACTTTTTATCATTAAATAAAACAGCTGAAAAATATGGATATTTATCAGTTAATTTAGCAAGAAATGGGTCTTTAATTAATAATATGAGTGAAGGGGAATTTTCTGGTAAAAATTAAAATTTCTTTATTGAACAAAAATTATTTGAGAAAATAAAATAAAAACTTGGGGGTCCACATGGATATTTTTTTGGAGATGTAATACACTATCAGAAAATGATAAGCACTCCTCAGTTTTTAAGTAAAAAACATATTTAAGTTTAAAGTATCATAATTTTAGAATTTTTTTTATGAATTCGACTGTCAGATAATTATAAGCACCCCTTAAGTTTCGGCATTAGGGGCCGTTCGAAAAACTACTTTATTTAAAAAATATTAAAAAAAATAATATTTTTTAAGGACAAACTGGGCGTGTAATTTTAGATAAAACAGGAAATCGTCAACCAAATTTTTATGTAACAATTTTGGATGCTTCAGATCAACCAACTGTTATAATGAATATTTCTATTGTTTTGGGAGTAATTGTAAGTTTAAAATTAAATGGAAAAAATTAAATGAATTTTAATTTTTGAACGTCGCTAAACGATATACTGACGAATCCGTTATTTGGGCAAATAGAGGAGGAAAGAGACCTTTATATAAACCAATATGTGGATATACTGGGACAGAATGTCCACAAAATATAACAACATATATATTAATTGGTGTTGGTTTGGTTTTGTTATTGTTAGTAGCTACTTTAGGTGGAATTGGTTATGCTGTTCGGTTAGTAGTTAAATATTTTTTTGGAATTTAAAAAAAATTATTTTTTAAAGAGAAAAATTAAAAGAAAAGGAACGTTTAACTAGAGAATGTTTAATACCTTTTGGAGAATTAAAAAATATAAAAGAATTAAAAAGTAATGAAGATATGAGAAGTTTAGAAGCAAATAAAAGTTTAAAAAGTTTACAAAGTAGCCAATCTGGCAGTACAAAATTAACAAGTATGGATGATAAAAAATTGGAAACAGAAAATTATGCACATTTTTTATATAATAGAGAAGTTGCTTTTGCTATTAAATATCAAGTTAGAGTTAGAATATTTAATGAAGATTTTGTGCTTTTGAGAAAGGTAAAAATAAAATATAAAATTATCGTAAATAATTTATCTGCTACAAATTTACCTTACACAATTGTAGGAATATTCTTGAATTATTACAGTACGGCAATAGGGTATTGGGCATTTTATACATTCGGTTCCGACTTTGGCTATTTTCAAATCTGCATGGCTCTAGCTGGAAAATTAATGAATTATTATTTCAAAGTTTATTTTCAATTGAGAGGATATCGAGGGACGAAAATCCATGAGAAGTCTCGCTCGGGTCAAGAATCGTAACCATAGGTCATGGTTTCACAATAATATTTATATAAGCGATGACGCTAATGATAGTTAGCTTTGTGGATAACAGAAATAGATACAGAATTTGTAGCAGACAAATTATATTTTGCTTAAAAGAAATTTAATTTGTTTTTATTAGATACGTCAATTGGATCATGACAATTTAAATAAATTTTGTGGACTTTGTACAGATGCTCCAATTCTTTATGCAATTTGGAAGCATTGTCAGAGAGGGAGTTTAAAAGTATTTTTTAGAAAATAAAAATAAAATTGAAATTAAAAAAAGGATTTAATTGCCAAAGAGCAATATGTCGGTGATTCTTTTGTGATGTTTACTTTAATGAGGGATATAGCTAGTGGATTAATAGCTTTGCACGGGTCATTTGTTGGAGCACATGGAATGCTTTCCTCAGAGAATTGTTTAATTAATGATCGTTGGCAAGTAAAGATTAGCGATTTTGGATTGAATATGATTAGAGAAAGTCAACCAATGTCAAAAAGAAGTAAAAAAGAATATAATTTTATAAATCTCGATTATTTTTTAAGAATTATTGTGGACAGCACCAGAATTATTAAGAGAAAATAATCGAAAAGGAACAAAAGAAGGAGATGTTTATAGTTTTGCTATAATTTGTTGTGAATTAGTTAATAGAGAAACTGTTTGGAATGGAGTTGAAAGAGAAGATGATGTTGATGGTTTGTAGGAAATAAATACAAATTAGTTGATCTTTTTTAAAGAGATTATTTATCGCCTAAGACGAACAAATACAGCAATTCCACACAGACCTCAGCTGCATCCAAGGGAAGAAATTAATCAAAATCTCGTAAAAATTAAAGATAAACAATAGAGACGTCCAAGACCGAAAATTTTTCCAAGACTCAAGACCAGTATTAGAATTTTGAAATTTGCTCGTACTTTCGTACAGGCCTTATTTTTTCAACGTATTTAGTACTTGATATATTAAGGTCCTCATTAATTAAAGGGATGAACCTAATACACTCTTAACCACACGGCCATCTGAGGGAAAAGCAAGACCAGGACCGAAAAACCCCAAGAAGGTCTTGGTATCAAGGCTCAAGAGTCTCGGACGTCACTATTAAACAACATAAATTAAATAATTTTTCAGATTCATTTAATACGAGACTGTTGGAGTGAAATTCCAACAGAACGTCCAAGAATAGATCAAGTCAGAACAATGTTAAAACAAATGGTTAGGGATGGGAGTCAAAATTTAATGGATTATGTTTTTGGAATGTTAGAGCAATATGCAAGTTCTTTAGAACAAGAAGTTGAGGAAAGAACTAGAGAATTAGTTGAAGAAAAAAGAAAAAGTGATATTCTTTTATATAGAATGCTTCCAAAACAAGTTGCCGATAAATTAAAATTGGGGGAATTTGTTGAACCAGAACAATTTAGTGCAGCAACAATATTCTTTTCTGATGTTGTTTCATTTACAACATTAGCTAGTAAATGTTCTCCTTTACAAGTAATTAAAATATTCGAAATAAATAAATTATGAATTAAAAAGGTTGTAAATTTATTGAATGGATTATACACAGCATTTGATGGGATTATTGACAGTCACGATGTTTATAAAGTCGAAACAATTGGAGATGGTTATTTAGTTTGTTCTGGAATTCCTCGGAAAAATGGGAATGACCATGCTAAAGAAATTTCTGAACTTGCATTTGCTTTCCTACGTACCGTTTCAACATTTAGAGTTGACCATTTGCCAAATGAACGTGTTAATTTACGTATTGGAATACATACTGGTTAATAAATGAATTGTTAATTTCCTTAAAAAATATTTAAGGACCAGCAGTAGCTGGAGTTGTTGGATTGACAATGCCTCGTTATTGTTTATTTGGAGACACTGTAAATACAGCTAGTAGAATGGAATCTAATGGAAGACGTAAAAAATAAATTTAATTTCCATAAATTATTCTTTTCCCTCTCAACAGCTGGACGTATCCATATATCAACCACAACTAATCATTATTTAACTAACATAATTGGAGGATATGTAACAGAACCTAGAGGAGAAGTAATTATTAAAGGAAAAGGAGTTATGGAAACATTTTGGCTACTTGGACATTCTGGGGATTCTCATTATCTTGGAGCTGTACCTTCTGATGATAGAGGAAGCCCCGAACCTATGTAGATAAATAAAGATTTGAATTATATGTATGTATAAACGATGAAAAACTATGATCTCTATCAAATTTGAATTTATTAATTTTTTGATTATAAAATTTTATCTGAGGAAATTATATTTGTAAGAAAGAAGTCATTTTCAGTTTTTTAACCTTGATAACTAAAGTGCCATTTTAATTCAGAATTAAAAATGTTCTCAATAATTCAAAAATTCTCCAAAAAATAAAAATGAATAATAAGAAAAGTGGAAAACTTACGGAGAAGTTTCAGTATTAAAAAAATAGGTTGTTCTAATAGAGGAGTCCTTCAAACGGAGGGGTTTTTTCAATCTTCCTTCAAGGGTCCATTTTATTATTTAGAAGGTGTCATGAATAGAGGAAATACGGTAGAAATTTCATTCACTTCTCTCAAAAATACAAAAAACAAAATGGTCAAAAATGTCAGAGTCCGGGAAAGACTGGAGTCTGAGTTGCAAAAGTAATATCTACGGACCATTCTATCCGTGTCCACCCGTATCCGGTGATATCAGAATATTCGCGGATATATCCATATCCGTAAACATGTCTGATTAAAACTAAAAATTCTATTTACAAATAAATTAAAGCTATTTACTAAGTAAATTAATTTGTAGAAATATTTTTCATTTCAAAAGATTAAATTTTTGCTTTTCTAAAAATTTGATTAAAAGAATCCTTATTTATTTAAAAATAATTTAAAATTTAATCAAAAATTAAAATTTTGAAGGTTTCTTGTCTAAAAAATTAAGTAAAGATTATCTACTTAGTTTCTATTGTTGAAGAAAAATAAAGAAAAAACAAATTTTATGTATTTTTAAAAATATAAACCCAAAAAATTAAATTATTTTATGTCTTCCCGCCCACAATTTTTAATTAATTTTAAATTTATTTAAATAGTAACAATATCCCTCATTTAAAAATTATTTGGCAAGCAAAAATGAAATATAGTAGTAATTTTTTAAATTTATTTCCTCTTGTTTCGTTTATTTTGTTAATAAATTTGAATATTTTGGTATGTCAAAACAATTCATCCGAAACAACAACAACAACAACAATAGCAACAACACAATCAGCACAAACAACCCCTAAAGCAATAACAACATCCCAATCTTCAACAACAACATCAACACAACTTTTGCTTAAAGTTGGAATATTGGGGGCTAATTCTAGTGAATTAAGATCTGCTTATGGTTTTGGACAAAGTGTTCCAGCAATTTCTATTGCTATACAAAGGGCTAGAAATGAACATTTAATTGATTTTGTTAATTTTACGTAAAGAATATTTATTTGATTAAAATATATCTTTAATGTTTTTGTAGATTTACTTGGTTAATTTGTGATTGTGATCAAGTACTTGCTGTTGGATATTCTAATAAATTAATTCTTGACCAAAATGTTGATGTTATTATTGGGCCTCCTTGTGTTACATGTAAATATGCCTTTAATAAAATAAATTTATATTAATTTTATTTAAGCCGCAGTTGAAGCTGGATTGCCTCCAGGATTTTATAATATACCAATATTTTTGTGGGGTGCCACAATTGCAACAGTATTTAATGATAATGATATTTATCCAACATTGACAAATATTAATTCTAACACGCAATTGTTTGGAATTAATTTTAATTTATTAAATAAATTTATATTATTAGCCTTGCTCAAGCTGTCGAGGCCGTTTTAATGCAATTTGGTTGGTATGACTTTTCATTTATTTATATTCCAGATGATATTAGAAGTTAAGTTTAAATTATAAATTAATGTGTAAAATATGTAATAAAATAATTTTTCCAAAATCTTTATACATCAAAAAAGTTTCTTTAGCTAGAGTTGTCGGTTCTTGGAAAATCTTCGGATATCCGAAACCGAACCGAAAAATAGTCGATTCTTCGGTTCGGTTTGGTTCAAAACCGACAACCCTATATTGGACTGTTAAATTGTGTGTGCATTAATAAAAAATTGTTAAATCCAAATTTTTATTACATAAATGACAGGGAATGTTACTATAAATCGGGACGGCACGCCCACCTAATTCATAAATATTTCCTCAAAAATTAAAAAAAAATAATTTTTTTTTAAATTTTAGGATGGGTACTTATTTTGCACAAGATTTCGAAAATATTTTAAATATAAATCAAAATCTAACAATTGTATATAGCAAACAAATGGATCCAAATGTTAAAAGTATAACAGATACTTTACAACAAATTAAAAATCGCTCGAGAAGTTTTTAATTTAAATTAATTTAAATTATTTTTAAAAATTAATTAAAAAGTTGTTGTGGCTGTATTTGATTCAATAGAAATAAGAAGAACTTTTCTATTGGCAATGACAGATACAGGAATTTCTTTAAATAATGAATATGTGTTTATTATTCCACAATTAAGAAATTTAGGAATGTTGCAACAAGGTAGTAAATAAAAATAAATTTCGAAGGAAAAAATAAAAAATTTTCATTAAAAGAAAAAACAAGCACAAATATTTCGAAATATAATGATTTTTGGATGACAACAAATGGAGTTAATGATGGGAGGGACGATGATGCTTTGAAAGCTGCAAGAAGGACAATTATTGTAATTAGAATTATTTTGATAAAAAGGGCCTTTTCTCGATTATGTAATAAAAAGAGGAACTTTTCTTAACTTTTCTCGATTAATATAATTTGAAGAAATTAAAAATTATCATAATTTTATCAATACTTAAAGTTGAGAAAATAATAACATTTGATTAAAAAATTAAAAAAATAAATTTAATAAAAATATTTTAATTCAAAAGATTGACTTAGAAAATCAGTCAAACTCTGAAATTGATGCTTTTAATGCTAAAGTAGTTGCAGAATTTGGAAAGCCTCCCTTCAATTGTATAAATGAATGTATGGGTGGACCTAATGACCAAATTGTTTTTTAAAATATTTTTTTATTAAAAAAATAATTTAAGCCGTCTTCGTATGCTCGAAGTTTACACGATACAACATATGCCTATTTAAGGGCATTAAATAAAACAACAGAAAAGTTTGGTTATTTAACGAAAGATTTGGCAAGAAATGGAACTTTAATTAATAATATGAGTAAAGGGGAATTTCAAGGTACTAAATTTAATAATTAAAAATTAAAATAAAAAATAATTTAGGGGAAACAGGGAATGTTATTATTGACGAAAATGGAAATAGAGAGCCAATATTTGTTGTTACTATGTTGGATATTTCTGATCAACCACTAAATGTTATGCAAATCAATTTTATTAACAATACAATGGTAGGGAAAATTAAATAAAAAATGTAGACAAAAATATAGAATGGAAATTAAAATTTACAATAAAAAATAACATCTTAACTAACTATGTAGCATGTTTTGGTTGTATGCAGTGATGGAAAGGTTCCAGTTCTGGCTCTAGAACCGGAACTGGAACCGCAATAATTAAAAAAGCGGTTCCAGAGAAATTTTGGAACTTTTCCATCACTAATTATTGGTATGAACTCAATAGACCCTCGATTTCTTCTAATCGAGGATGAAATAGTATTTTAAGAATATTCAAAAGAATTTCAAGGTAATACGTAAATAGAAGAGACTGAATGTAAAAATAAGAAGATTATAATTTAAAGTCAAAATTTTGCAAATAAAGAGAATAAAAAACATATGTTAAATTTAAGCAAATAACTAAAAATTACAACGACGAATCTGTTATTTGGGCAAATAGAGGAGGTAAAAGACCTTTATATAAACCAATATGTGGATATACGGGGACAGAATGTCCACAAAATATAACAACATATATATTAATTGGTGTTGGTTTGGTTTTGTTATTGTTAGTAGCTACTTTAGGTGGAATTGGTTATGCTGTTCGGTTAGTAGTTAAATATTTTTTTGGAATTTAAAAAAAATTATTTTTTAAAGAGAAAAATTAAAAGAAAAGGAACGTTTAACCAGAGAATGTTTAATACCTTTTGGAGAATTAAAAAATATAAAAGAATTAAAAAGTAATGAAGATATGAGAAGTTTAGAAGCAAATAAAAGTTTAAAAAGTTTACAAAGTAGCCAATCTGGCAGTACAAAATTAACAAGTATGGATGATAAAAAATTGGAAACAGAAAATTATGCACATTTTTTATATAATAGAGAAGTTGTTTTTGCTATTAAATATCAAGTTAGAGTTAGAATATTTAATGAAGATTTGTTTCAATTAATGAAGGTTGTTACAAGTAAATGAACGGCAAAAGTTTTTTGTTTTTAAGCTTAGACAATTAGACCACGAAAATTTAAACAAATTTTGTGGATTATGTACTGATGCACCAATTTTATATGCTGTTTGGAAACATTGTCAAAGAGGAAGTTTAAAAGTAAAAATTAATACTAGACATTTTTTTTGACATTAAGTCGGGAAAACTTGAATATTATAATACGTGAGACAAGATTTTAAAAGAAATTTTATTAGGATTTAATTGCCAAAGAGAGATATGTCGGCGATTCTTTTGTAATGTTTACTTTAATGAGGGATATAGCTAGTGGCTTGATTGCTCTTCACAAATCATTTATTGGAGCACATGGAATGCTTTCCTCAGAGAATTGTTTAATTAATGATCGTTGGCAAGTAAAGATTAGCGATTTTGGATTGAATATGATTAGAGAAAGTCAAACTTTTACAAAAAGAAGTAATTAAAATTTTGTTTTAAAATAGAGTACGTCCGAGTCGAGCAAGTTAGAGTTCACTCGACTCGATCTTACGAAACCTGGGTGTTCCTACTTGGCCCAACTAATCCTCCGAATTTCTTGGATTTTTCTCTTAATACAGCCAAATCTCAGAATAATCAGCCCAAATCCCGCTTAATCGCTTGATATCCATCTCATTCCGCTATTATTACTCGATATCCGTTATCACTCCATTGATTTTCCACCCGGAGCCCTTTGCTAACATTGATTATGGGCGTATGTTGAATGTCTGCGGATTAAGAGGGATATAGTAGGCGGATTAAGAAAATAAATGGGACTTGGATGGTGATCCCCTGCATTATTGTCAACAAATGCTCAATATCCAGCACTGATAATGAATAGTTTTTAGTAAAAGTATTGTCTTCATTAAAATTATTTTAAAATACTGTTTTATAAAAATTTCTGCCTAAAAAGTTAAACTCGTACTCAAACTCGGCATTACTCGAACTCGGTTTTTTCCCGAATTACACGGTAGTCGACGTACTCTATTTTCAAATATTAACGGTTGTGAGCGTTTTTTTTAATTAAAATATAATTCATTAGTCTAAATGTTACCACTAAATCTAGTTTTAGCTCGGGGGATTAAAATTGCATTATTAGGTCATTAAATCGTGTTTTTTAAGAATTATTGTGGACAGCACCAGAATTATTAAGAGAAAATAATCGAAAAGGAACAAAAGAAGGAGATGTTTATAGTTTTGCTATAATTTGTTGTGAATTAGTTAATAGAGAAACTGTTTGGAATGGAGTTGAAAGAGAAGATGCTGTTGATGGTTTGTAGGGAATAAATACAAATTAGTTGATCTTTTTTATAGAAATTATTTATCGCCTACGACGAACAAATACAGCAATCCCACACAGACCTCAGTTGCATCCAAGGGAAGAAATTAATCAAAATCTCGTAAAAATTAAAGTTAAACAGCTCCAAATAAATAATTTTAAAGATCCATTTAATACGAGACTGTTGGAGTGAAATTCCAACAGAACGTCCAAGAATTGATCAAGTCAGAACAATGTTAAAGCAAATGGTTAGGGATGTGAGTCAAAATTTAATGGATTATGTTTTTGGAATGTTAGAGCAATATGCAAGTTCTTTAGAACAAGAAGTTGAAGAAAGAACTAGAGAATTAGTTGAAGAAAAAAGAAAAAGTGATATTCTTTTATATAGAATGCTTCCAAAACAAGTTGCCGATAAATTAAAATTGGGGGAATTTGTTGAACCAGAACAATTTAGTGCAGCAACAATATTCTTTTCTGATGTTGTCTCATTTACAACATTAGCTAGTAAATGTTCTCCTTTACAGGTGAATAAATCTCTTAAATATTATAGAGTTAGTTAAGAGAATTAATCCTAATCCGAGTCCATTTATCCCCCACATTGCTATGTACAAACAACTTTGATCATCTCTGAACGTTTAATTTGCAGTTTCCATTAAATTGAATTAAGCATTTATGTTCCTAGGGTAAACAAAAGGAAGTTTCTTTCCAAAAATATAAATCATTATCTAAGTAGATTTTCGATGAAATTTTATTTCAGGAAAGAGTACTGATTCTTAGTTCGCACTCTAATAGGCAAGAATTTTAGATACCGGATTAAATAGTTAACACTCTTCTATAACTTCCCTCCATCAATTGCCCAAAAACACGTTAGTAGTTAACCACCCCACTTTATTTCCCTTTTTTCCCACAAAATTTCCAGAGCAATTGAAAGGTTTGGGAAGGGGGCGGGTCTTTAGTAGTTAACCATACCACTTTTTCGTGGGAGAATTAATGACCTTTTTTGGCGCAACCAATAGGTATAGGGGGGTTTCCCTTTTGATCCTAAAGGTTTAGGGGGTTTCCTTTTGATCTCCCAAGGGTTTTGGAGGGGTCTAATTAAAATTAATTACAATATACCAACTTCGCGCAAATTTTTTCAAGAGACAACCAAAAGGTTTAGGGGGTTTCTTTTTAATATCCTGAGGGTATTGAAGTGGTTTAATTAAGATTAATTACAGTATACCAATTTCGCGCAATGTTTCTCAAGAAGAAAACCAAAGGTTTAGGAGGGGTTTTCTTTTGTTTTAAGGGGTTTCTGATTAAATATCTTTTCATATTTTTGGCGCAATGTTTCTCAAGAAGCAACCCAAATGTTTAGCAGGGGTTTTCAAAAGGGTTTCTGATTAATTATCTTTTATCATAATTTTCTTTTTGTCATTGGTTTTGTGAGGCAACCCAAAGGATTAGAACAAGTTTCAGTTTAATTTTACCCACTGTTTAAAGAAGTTTTTTTTGAGTCTGGATGTTTTTAAGATAATCAACAAAAGTTTTAGAGGTCTGTTGTTATCCGTTTTTCCTCAGAATTTAAGGTTTTTAATTAAGATTGATTAACTTTTAACATATTGGCGCAAGTCTTTCAACAAAACCTTTTCACACGAGATTTTAACGCTCTAACTGATTAATTATTTTTATGTTTTTTGACACAACCCTAAAGCTATAAGATGTTTTATTTTTGAGATTTCAGCAGTTTTTTGGTGTTTTTTTTTGACTATGAATTATCTATGAGTTATTTTTTTCACTGAAGAATTTTTGTGGAACCCTAATGTTTAGTTGCATTTTCTTCAGAATTTAAATGTGATTAATTAATGATAATTTTTTGATAATTTTTTGATAATTTTTTGATAATTTTTTGATAATTCTCCAATTCAAACTAATTTCTCCATTCAAACTAATTTCTCCATTCAAACTAATTTCTCCATTCAAACTAATTTCTCCATTCAAACTAATTTCTCCATTCAAACTAATTTCTCCAAAAAAATCAATATGACTAAACCTAAAAGACAACGAAATTTGTCTTCTTCAAGTAATTTTAACTCTAGCTCAAATTCACAAAATTTCCAATTATCCTCTGGACAAATCTCACAAATTGTTCAGCAGGTTCTTGAAATTCTAAAGCCTACTATACAGACTATTGTTGAAACTTCTATTAATAAAATTATTGAGAAATTTCCTGCTATGAATCATCAACAACAAAGGCCAACAACACCTTGGGGCTGTCCACCAACACCAGACCCATCTTACCTTACTAAAATATCAAATTATAACATTTTAAATCAACAAACTGTAATTCAAAAATCGAAATCAGCTGTTTTGGAAAAACTGCCTGAAACTACAGACATCAATGTTGTTGAACAAATTATTGATAAATGTGGGTTAAAGGAAAAAATTGACACTACAAAAGAAATACATCGTCATCTTGAAATGAGGGAAGGAAACAATCTTAAACCTAGGATTATCAAAATCCCTTTTATAGATAATGCCTCTAGGGATTTATTTCTTAAAAAATTTCGTAAACAATTGCCTTTTTTCCCAATTTTACCTAAAAATGTTAGTGTTAGAAGAGATATGACACCTCCTGAATTATCAATACTTTATTCACAAAGGTCCAAGGCGTATAATCTTAATTTAGCTGAAGGACTTTTTAAATACATTGTCATTGATCTTGACATTATTGAGTTGAGAAATCCAAAACCTTTTAAAACAAAAAATAAATAGGGTTTAAAGAGTAAATCACAAGAAATTGATTCTAAAAAGGCTGACAAATTCTCATGTGTATATCTAAATTCCAGATCCCTATTAAATAAAGTTTCAGAGTTTAATCATTTACTCAATACAAAAAAACCCTCTTTATGTATAATTACAGAGACATGGCTTAACGAAACTAATTGTATCCCATCTGAATATTCTCTTAATGGAAAATACCAGTGTATATTTGCTAAAAGAGAGAAGAAGCGTGGCGGGGGATGTGGAGTAGTATTTTTATCTGACATAGATAATCAAATTATTTTTTGTGGTTCTAAGTATGGATGTGAAATTATAGAGATTAAACTTAAGTTAGATAATATGATAACAATTGTAAGTGTATATAGGCCACCAAACCTTAGCGTAGCTTATACGAAAAAATTATTTAAATATTTATCAGGGATAAACTGTAAAAATGTAATAATTTTAGGTGACTTTAATCTGGGTAATATTAACTGGAATAATTTAGCAGATCGAAATAATACCCAAACTCAGCAAATGATAAACTTTATAAGTCAGACTCATTTAAAACAACACATAACAATACCCACTAGAGAAAATAATATTTTAGATTTAATTTTTTGTAGACCTCATGAATTAGTATACGATGTTGATGTAGCTGAAAATTTTTCTAACTCAGATCATAAGATGATTTATTTTCAAATAAATGCAAAGCCTAATAAAATTAAAAAAGATATAATTTTTACAAGAAATATAACCTATACTGGGATTAAGAATTTAAATTCAGCTTTAGCCCAAGTTAATTTAGATGAATTACTAAATACTTGTTTTTATGTTGATACCAAGTATAACCTTTTCACTGAGACAATATATAAGTTATTTAATGCGAGTATACCTTTAAAACCCATTAACAAAGTCATAAAATCAAAATATAGTGATAAAATTAAATCACTTAATAAAGAAAAGTTAAGACTACATAGGTTGGTAAAATCAAATCCCGATAATACAGAGTTAAAATTGCAAAGCAAAATTATAACTAGGCAGCTAGGAAAGGAACTTAGATGTTTTTATTATAATCAAGAAAATAGTCTCATCAAAAGAGGAATAAATTCGATACATAAATTTGTTAAAAACAAATTAGGTGTAAAAAATGAAATAGGTATATTGCTAGATAACGATGGAACAATTATTACTGATCCGAAAGAAAAATGTGATTTAATAGCTAAGGCTTTCCAACTACCCACTAGTAACCATGTTGAAAATACTAATAAAATTGACTTCTCAGTATCAAGCCCAAACACATTAAACGATATAGATTTTACAATTCTAGAAGTATTACAATCACTAAAATATTTACCAAACAGAAACTCTACTTCACCAGATAATATACCTTATATATTGCTTAAAAACTGTCGTGAAGTCCTTGCTCCATCAATAACAGGATTATTCAGATTAATTTTGGATAGTATGCAAATCCCTGAATCCTGGAGAATGTCAATTATTATACCAATTTTTAAGAAAGGTGAAAAAACAGATGTAAACAATTATCGACCGATATCGTTGACTTGTACTTTATGCCGAGTTTTTGAAAGATTTATTGCAAATCATATTTTAAATTTTCTTCATGAGAAAAATTTCTTTTGCTCTGAACAATTTGGATTTCTTAAAACCAGATCAACGACAACATTACTTATTACAATGTTAGAAGAATTTTATAACTCATTAGATAGAAATAATAAAATTGATGTAATTTATTTAGACTTTAAAAAGGCTTTCGATATGGTACCAATAAATATATTACTTAATAAAGTAATGAATGCTGGAATAGGTGGAAAGGTGCTTAAGTTTATTCAAAATTTTCTTACAAGAAGAACTTACAAGGTAAAGATAGGAAATGAATTTTCCTCATCCTTTAAAACATCAAGCGGTGTACCACAGGGAAGTGTCTTAGGGCCAATTCTTTTTAGTATATTTATTAATGATCTTCCGTTAGGATTACCAAATGAGATAAGTTACAAATTGTATGCAGATGATGTTAAGTTATATATATCACATAATAATGATGCAAAAAGGGAAATTCTTGAAGAATCATTAAAGCTAATATTAGATTGGACTAGTAAAAATGGATTAGAATTATCTATAAATAAATGCAGTGTACTTCATATTGGAAAACATAATAATAAAAAGGAATACAAGCTGTTAGATAATATATTAGAGAGCTACCAAAATATACGCGATTTAGGAATTATAATAGATAAAGGTCTTAGTTTTGATGATCACATTAATAAGATAATAAGAAATGCATATTTTAAAATATATCAATTATTAAGAATACTTAAAACAAGAGATAGTGATACTTTATTAAGAGCATATAAAGCATATATTCGACCACAACTTGAATATGCAACAGAAGTCTGGAATCCTACAAAAAAAGGATTGATAAACGAAATTGAAAAAGTTCAAAAACATTTTACTCGTAGATTATTTAAAATTATAGGGCTAACCCCAACCAAGTATAAGGAACGATTACTTTATCTTAATTTAAAAGAATTGAAACACAGAAGGAATGTTTCTGATTTAGTTATGGCACATAAAATAATAACGAATCAAACGCATTTAAAGCCGGAAAAATATTTCAGCTTTGCAAAAATGGCTAAGAGAAAAATTTACTGTTTGCATCATAGAAAACTAAGTAGAAAAACCTATAATAACTTTTTTACAAGAATTATACCTACATGGAACAAGCTACCTAATGATATTTTAAAAATATACAAGTCAAAAAAATTCAGGGAAAATGTCAGCCTAAAATTGTAAATAGGGTTTTGGATCTCAACTCAATAAATTTCTAAATAGATGCCATAATTATATTTTTAAAATTTACAAACATAAAATAGCTTAACCAAAATTTTGTTATTTTATATTCAGTAAATCTTAAAAATATAATTTTAGGTAGATAGTTAGAAGTTTTTTCTTTATTTTTTTTTATTATTTATTGACAAATTAATTTTTTTTTATTTTCACATTTTTTATTTGTAATTTACATATGGACATTTATATTTATTTTTTATAATCACAATAAGTGTAATTTTTTACCTTGTGATTTACTCAATAAAATTAAATTAAATTAAATGTTCTCCTTTACAGGTGAATAAATCTCTTAAATATTATAGAGTTAGTTAAGAGAATTAATCCTAATCCGAGTCCATTTATCCCCCACATTGCTATGTACAAACAACTTTGATCATCTCTGAACGTTTAATTTGCAGTTTCCATTAAATTGAATTAAGCATTTATGTTCCTAGGGTAAACAAAAGGAAGTTTCTTTCCAAAAATATAAATCATTATCTAAGTAGATTTTCGATGAAATTTTATTTCAGGAAAGAGTACTGATTCTTAGTTCGCACTCTAATAGGCAAGAATTTTAGATACCGGATTAAATAGTTAACACTCTTCTATAACTTCCCTCCATCAATTGCCCAAAAACACGTTAGTAGTTAACCACCCCACTTTATTTCCCTTTTTTCCCACAAAATTTCCAGAGCAATTGAAAGGTTTGGGAAGGGGGCGGGTCTTTAGTAGTTAACCATACCACTTTTTCGTGGGAGAATTAATGACCTTTTTTGGCGCAACCAATAGGTATAGGGGGGTTTCCCTTTTGATCCTAAAGGTTTAGGGGGTTTCCTTTTGATCTCCCAAGGGTTTTGGAGGGGTCTAATTAAAATTAATTACAATATACCAACTTCGCGCAAATTTTTTCAAGAGACAACCAAAAGGTTTAGGGGGTTTCTTTTTAATATCCTGAGGGTATTGAAGTGGTTTAATTAAGATTAATTACAGTATACCAATTTCGCGCAATGTTTCTCAAGAAGAAAACCAAAGGTTTAGGAGGGGTTTTCTTTTGTTTTAAGGGGTTTCTGATTAAATATCTTTTCATATTTTTGGCGCAATGTTTCTCAAGAAGCAACCCAAATGTTTAGCAGGGGTTTTCAAAAGGGTTTCTGATTAATTATCTTTTATCATAATTTTCTTTTTGTCATTGGTTTTGTGAGGCAACCCAAAGGATTAGAACAAGTTTCAGTTTAATTTTACCCACTGTTTAAAGAAGTTTTTTTTGAGTCTGGATGTTTTTAAGATAATCAACAAAAGTTTTAGAGGTCTGTTGTTATCCGTTTTTCCTCAGAATTTAAGGTTTTTAATTAAGATTGATTAACTTTTAACATATTGGCGCAAGTCTTTCAACAAAACCTTTTCACACGAGATTTTAACGCTCTAACTGATTAATTATTTTTATGTTTTTTGACACAACCCTAAAGCTATAAGATGTTTTATTTTTGAGATTTCAGCAGTTTTTTGGTGTTTTTTTTTGACTATGAATTATCTATGAGTTATTTTTTTCACTGAAGAATTTTTGTGGAACCCTAATGTTTAGTTGCATTTTCTTCAGAATTTAAATGTGATTAATTAATGATAATTTTTTGAGCAAACTTTTAATAAAGTTTAGGGTGGTTTCCCTTAGATATCAAGATACTTTTCCTCATAGTTTTTGGTAAATGATTATTTGCTGATAATTTATCAAAAAATCAAACTTCTTTTTCTCATAAAATTTAAATATTCCTTTTCTATTAAACATTTCTTTTCTAATCTTATTTTAACTAAATATAAAATTTTTATTTTAAAAATCTGTCAATCAAATATGCAAATTTAATCTCTATATCTAATCTAAATTCAAAATTTTTCTTTTATTTTTTAAAAACTATCAATCAATCATGCAAATTTAATCTAAATATCTAATCTAAATTCAAATTTTCTCTTTTATTTTTAAATTCTGTCAATCAAATATGCTAATTTTATCTAAATTCAGATCTTTTCCTTTATTTTTAAAATCTATCAATCAATCATGCAAATTTAATCTATTCAAATATTTTCTTTTATCTTTTAAAAATCTATCAATCAAATATGCAAATTTAATCTATATTCAAATATTTTCTTTTATCTTTTAAAAATCTATCAATCAAATATGCAAATTTAATCTAAATATCTAATCTAAATTCAAATCCTTATTTTTTAAAAATCTGTCAATCAAATATGCTAATTTAATTTTAAATCTATTCTAAAAAGGGTTGGCTTTATATTTTAAAATCTGCCAATCAAATATGCTAATTTTATTTTAAATCTAATCTAAAAAGGGTTGGCTTTATTCTTTAAATTTTGTCAATCAAATCTAATATAGTTCAAATAGTGTAGGGGTGGACTTTATTTTCAAAAACCTGTCTATCATATATCTAGTGATCAACCAAGTGATCAAGTAACTATTTGAGTGATCAATCAAAAGATATTTAAAAAATTGATAAAATATCATGTATAATCGAGTGATCAAAGTAAATGAGTGGCCAATCAAATGATCTAATAATCAGCTGAGTGATTAACAAACTATCACATGAT